CACCTGTAATTTCAATCGGGTACACCTGGCATTTTATAAAAGTGCGTGGGAAGACACTTCGATTTTTTTATATTATTAAATAGATCGAATATTCAGAAAATATATTAAATATAAAAATTTTCGAATATTTTCTCTTTTTTTTTGTAAAAAAATATGGAGCATGTAACACGAAATTTATTTCTCGTTTTAATAAAGAAAGCGGGTTACTTTATCTAGAATTTTATCATGCTTTTGTGTAAATTTAAAGGGAAAAAATTATAGTAAACTATCCATTTTCTAGATATATCGTGTATGCTTATTTAAGGTAAAAGTTAAATTTATGTGTCCTTGGTGAGTGTCTTGTACCATACACTGAATTTATTACGTTGAAAAATATAACCTGCTTCTTGGTATGCAAAAGTGGCGAAACTTTTTGCTTTATAAACGGGTATTATCAATAGATACTGGTCTGTTCTACATATTGTTTTATTAAGAACAATAAAATAATTATTATTTCTCTCATTTATTAACGAAATTATTCGTCACTATGCAATGGATTTCTTTCTATGAAACACTGATTGAATTCTGTATTATTTCACATTATGTAATTACTATTGTAAACTGAAAACAATGTTAATGTTTTTAATGTGAGGAAAGATTTCTTCATCAACAAGATCCAAATACTGAACATGTATGGAAACGTACATTAGTTTATATAAAAGTTCTAATGTATTCTTATTCTTTGTCCTTATTTTAACAAAAGTAATAGACAAAAACATGCTAAACTTGGTCGTTCACACTTGTACAGATGGTTTATTCAGATCTATTGAACTATAAACAAAGCAAAAGAAATTAAAGTAAGGGAAAAAGCTACTAAGAATCTTTTGTAGTGCATCTTGGGCGTGAACTAGCATTACTTGACCATAGAACTATGCTCTAAATAATCACGTGACAGCGGTATATACTATTGTATACTCTATTTTCCAATTAACTAGTCATAAATAATGATAAATAAATATAATACATAAAGTTATTTACATATTTCAATCATTTTAAAGGCATTAATCATCACTTTAAAAGTGATTAAATTAGTAAGATGTGTATAACAATGTGAATAACAATATTTCATGATTAATTTAAATTCTTAACAATTAAAAATATAATTTTGATCCATGGAGTTGTCTTGGTATGAAGAAATCTATCACGAATTAACCACACCCCGGATATGGACTTATGTACGTCATTTGAACACGTTTTATATTTTCGGTTCAAGGTTAAAATAGAAAATAATTAAAATAAATATAAAAGTTTTAAAAAATAATAGTAACATATTTAAATTTATTCACTTTAATTTGTTAAATTCGATAAACAAATTTTAAAAAATTAAGTACTTTTTGTTATACAAGAAAGAGATGGCGATTAAGAATTTTTCAAATATTCTTAAAGTTTTAATTTAAAATAAATAAAAATTTAAAAATTATTTTATTATTTTCGAATTTTGATGTATCGATGTGTCCTTGAAAGAGGAAACTTTGGACATTATTCTAATATATATATAAACAGTAGAAAAACAGGATAATGCTTTTTAAATCTCGGTTCAACATCCAGCTTTTGCGTTTAAGAGATAGACAGAGAGGAAAGTAAAACATTTTCCTTTCATGAGGATTTTCTAAGAAATTTCTCTTTGAGATATTTTTTTAATTTTACGAGGAAATTTGGACCCTTTTTTATTTTCTCTTGCAAAGAATATCTTTAAGAAACAAAGTAAATATTTCTTCTTTTTTCTTTCTTAATAACATTACCAATAAATTTTTAGCTATTATATATATTTATTTATAGTAATTTTTAGGTTATATTTAGTATATTTTTAGATATTTTTAGCAATTATTTATATAAACATTTTAAGTTGTATTTTATACAAGATATTTTTAGATATTATTAGTTTTTATACGATTTCTATTAATTACTGTATTTAAAATATTATACTTTATAGAAGCTATGTGAATATATTAACAGCTAGAGAATGCTTTATATAATTAATTCTTACGTGAGATTTTTATAGAAAACATTCAAAAAAATATATAATCGTAAATTATAATTTTAGAATTGACTAGCCTACTTGCATACTCATATCTTAATGCCTACTCATACCTTATTAAATACATTAGATAACTTTATTGTATTGAAGTTTAATGACTCTCGAAAACTTTTTGACATTAGTTCTACCCACTGATACTGTATCTAGGCCCAGAAATTAGGCTATAAATAATGAAATAAAATTAGATCGCGCCTTAAAATGGTCGCAAATAATTCTATCTACAGAGTTGTTAACGGAAATAGAAGCCATGACCCTCGGGGTCTGCTAAATATTCTCAACACTTCTTATAGCGAAAGTTTGTCCCCAAAATTAACCAGGAAGTATTATTTAAACTTCCACATTATCTTCTAACAAAATGCTGTTGCTATTTTTTATTTTTTTATAAATTAAAATATATTGTTGTTCGAAATAAACTTTTATAGCATCGTGAGACTTCTATAACTTATCATGATTTTTATAAATAACTTTTTAATCTATAAATTGATAAAATTCTACACGAAAATAGTCTTATAGAATTTTTATTTAAAGATTTAAAGAAAAATCTTTTTAGCGTATGTTCTATTAAAAGAAAAATTGGCATTGTATGTATCCAAGTAGACCTATTTGTTTAGTTGGATATAAATTTGAGCTCCACCTTGATTTCATAGTATGAGTTAGGGTGGAGTCAAAAATGGATATAATTTTAAAAATTTGGTTCATGAAATGCTACAGGCCCTATAGCATATGACTTAGAAGAATAAATACTTATATAATATATTTATTCTTTCGGTTCTTTTCATGTAAACTATATTTAAAAATTGATATAAAATTATATTCTCGTAGATTTGGGAATACTTCTTCCGCCAAACTACGCACCAGTATATATTTTTTATATATATTTTCTTCATTAAAAACTTAGTAAATGTAATAAAAATGTAAAAATGATACCAGAAATCATATAAGTAACTCAAAAATCTTATGTTTAGCAATTAAAATATGCGAAAGGAATTTAAAGATGTAAAGATTTTATGATGTGAGAAAAACGTGTTTAGTTTTTATAAACTTCTAATAATTGTATTTTCTATAAAATTTATTACATCCTCATTTTAAAGGATTAAAATATAAAATAGCAATCACATTTTGAAGACTGTCTTCATAATTTATGTTTGATAGTCTCAAAATCGAGCACTCTCCAATAAGTTTTATTTATTATTTTTTTTTATAGGTCCGGAGTTTAGTAGGGCAGGATATGACGTTTGGCAAAATAACTTTAGCCATTATATCCGAAACAATGGAGGCAGACTTAAAAAAAAAATGATTGTGGCATAGGAACCTTGAGAAATATGACCTCTAAAGGGAATGTCTGCACGCCCTAACAAAGGTCATCCTGATAAGAGTTTGATGAGAAAATAATCAACGTAATGGTTCATTAGTTACAATTATAATAGGATCATCGTGTAAATAATAACAAGAGCTTATCTAAAAATCTGTTTTTTTAATGATATTATCTCATATTTATTATTTGTAGATCACGTAAACAACAGTTAAAATGGTGCAAATATTTCCTCCTTTTGCGGATATGCAGCGCTTACCAGCGATGTCTCAACAAGCACCAATCAGTACTTTTTCCAGAGGAAGCATTTTGTTTTGTAGATGATTTAATGAGGTAGTGAAAAAATTAAAATATAAAAAAAATATAGTTATAAAAGATTTTATCCCTCTTTGAACGTTCACAATAAAGCCGAGTAAAAATGCTTTGCTCTGAAAATTAAACTTTTATTAAGTTTCAAAACGAATTAATTCAGCATTGATGGAATACAATTAACCCAATGATTCAGATAATTATAAGTTTCATTCTTTTATAACAATCGTAGGAAGATTTAAGAAAAAAATTCTTTTAAATTTCAAATAAACTGAATTAATTCTTAATTTTATTTGAAAATGAAAATGATTCGTGAAGAAGTAGAACGTTATCTAATATTAAAATTCTTTGAGTCGTAAATAACATTAAAATATTCATTGATCATCAAAAAAAGAACAATGAATCATTAAGAATAGTTTAATATCAGTTGAGGAGGAGTAAAATTCTTCAAAAGATTTTTTTGCTAATTTATTATTATTTTGAACCATTTGGATCTTCTTAAACATTATGTCACGATTCAATTGTCGATCACGTTTCGTTTTACAAAAGATTTTCTAAACGAAGTCACTTCCTGAATGCAATGAAAAATTCGGTCATGTGTTTAGATGACTTACATCGTAAAATTCTTATTGTCATCTTAAAATTACACATATTATATAAAGGTAGCAAATTAAAAAGGGTTAGGCAGCGTAGAGTAAAATGTACCCACCCTTCTGCAAGACCATGCGTATCTTATGTATTATTTATTAACGTTTAAATAATTCGAAAAAGTCTTAATATTTATACGTATCATTTGATTTACGATAATTTGATTAATTTATCTAAAGTTTAATATATATATAATTTCAATTGGTTAGAGTCTAACAGGTCTTGTTCTCTGTATACTTGTACACTTATACCGCTGTATGATCACCCAGTTTCTCGTATGATGATTGGTGAATAGTTTGATCATGTGATCGAGTATTCGTGATGTTCTCTTAAAACTACTGTACCTGTTCTTTTGACGGTTCAGTGCTAATGAGAAGAACCGTAGAGGAGTGCAAGACTGTTACAGCAGTTGCAAGGTTCTATTACTACCTTGCAAATTATTAATATACGAACATCAAAGGATAAAAGATAATTTTTTGGATAATAACAGACTGCAATGGTGAGTAACTTCTTCCTATTTTCATTTTTTTTACACCAGGAAAATTAAACTAGCACAATTAAAACATAAAAAAAAATAATATATTAAAGTGAGTGGAGGCATTTTTAGTATTTTTCTAATTAGAATTTTAGTATTTCCTGCTTAAAAGATGCTCTAACTTCAATATTTATTTTAATAAGTAAGCAAAAATTAAATTTTTATATAGAATATTTCTGTAAGACGTTTGTTTCCAGTGTAAAAAAATTGATTTTAAAATTGAAAATTGAGAATTTATTATTAATTACGAAGCATGGAAAAATATTTTAACTAAAAATTTCGATTTAAAATAGATATTACACAAATAGATTTAAGTTTATTAAAGTTTCTGGCTTACTATATATATGTATGTTTGTATATATTTGTGAGGGTTGAACACAGATAGTTAACCTAATAATATGGTCCATTGCGTAAAAAACATTGTTAGGCTATGGATTAAAATAAAATTAATTTTGATCTATATATAGGAAAAATGTATTATTATATGACTAATTTTAGAGTAGAAAGTGACAAATATCTTCTTAAGATATATTGTAATTGGAATCTTCCTGAAAATCGAGGAAGATGCAATATCCGGATCTTCTGCTACAATAATCTTAAGATATCCTTCTTCACGCATGCATGAATGTTGATTATTCAATGCCATCCTTACCTACTTGAAGTAAATAGGAAAGATTAAAAAAAGAATATCCTGATGTGACCTTTGATGCTCTGCATTTGGATCTATTTTTTTTTTCGTTTTTTCATGTTTTAAGTTTTTATTTTGTACGAATACAAGTCCGAGTAGTTTCTACTCTATAAAGACTAGAACGTCAAACATTTCCTTACATAAATATTCAGAATTTCCAGTATTTTTGAGACATTTTTAAGGAAAAGAAATGATATTTATGCATAAATATCGTGTAAAGATATACCTAGATTAAGAGAACTGTTATGAATGACCATATGCGTATTCTATTTTTAAAATAAGCGAATAATTATTATTAGGTCATTGTACTAAGTGAGAAAGATCCGGTGTATTTGAATCACAGAGTACAACTATAAAGAAAAGAAGAAAAAAAAAAAATATATATATATATATTAAGGTTAATCAACTATGCAACTGTCGAACTGAATAAGTTATACCAAGAATAATGACGTAAACAAATTTGGAAATTTAGAACGATTGAATGGAAGTTATATTTGTTTCTAATGTAGAGTAAAGCAAAGCTCATTCTAGATTATCGATACGATAATGGTATTGTTTTAATGTATCAGCGGTGTTTGTCAAAGCAGATTTTCGTTTGCAGGAACAGGAAGAATGGTCCAAGGCCACTCACACGGTCGCAAACACAGTAACCTACTAAACACTTCCCTCACAAAATTCAGTAACTGGTCCTTATGTACAGTACCTCAGGGTATTTGGAGAAAGCCCTGTTAGATATATAATTTGCAGGAAAGTTAAGCTCGTTGGGTCATAATGCTAAAAAACTCGTCTGAGAGAATTGAATGTTCATTCTTATTTAGGTTTCGAGAAGATATAGGACATTTACTATCATAAAAAGTAGTTTAATTGGAAAGTAAATTGTAAATGAATGTTTAAATAGAAAATATTTTATTCAACCTTCAGGAAATTTACAATTCAATTTTTCTTATTTTTTCCAAGTTATTTATATTTTCATTTTATTGATAACAATAAAAAATGTAACAAGATAAAGAGATTAGCGTTGATTGATACTCGATTACTCATTTCGAAATTTTGCTTTCTATTAATTTTATTTACAGTCCAGTCACGTGTTGAATTAATTCATTAAAAGACGGATTATATTCGCGACAAAATCTAGAAAGAATCAACATAATTTTCACTTTAAAATTAATTTTCAGGTGGTTTTTTAAAATATCCTTCCTTGTTGCTTTATGAGAAATTTAACCCCTTTTTTCAGGTCAGGGAATAATTTTAATAAGTCCTGATTAAAATCACTTTTCTATAATGCGGTTTTGCAATTCTATAATATAATAACAGTTTATATACTTATATAAATTAAACTTATGTTTTAAATTATTAAAATATTAAAAAAATTAGATTATATTGTAAGCATAAAATTCACATTTATTATGTCTATTTTTCTGTATTTTAAGTATAAAATCCATCACTTTTTGTGCTAAATTTTGTATTTCGAATACGAAATTCGCCATTTATGTGCTTACAACACTTTTAATTAATATTTTAAATACAAAATTCTTCATTCTTGTTTCACTTCGTTGTATTTTAAGTTAAAAATTTACATTTATTTTGCCATTCTCTTATATTTTAGAAACGATATTAACTACCTTTTTTAAGTGCCATACTTGGTATATTACAACTAAGAAATGATCCCGTGTTAAATATTAATAAAGGAAGAAAGTTTAAATAACTTATCCATTAATTGAAAGTTTTTGGCTGAACGATCTCAAATATTACTCGAGGCGAAATATTTAAACAATACCGAATATTTCCTGTTTGTTCGTCGAAACAGTAAAATCATCATAACTTTTTGTTACTAAGAAGAAACATTATTATACACGTCAAGCTTGCTTTCTCATGATTAAAGAAAGTTCCGCATTCTGTACACATTCGTATCTCAGGAAAAATCGAAGTTTTCTTTTCTTTTTTTTTCTTCTTTGTCATTTTTTTATTTACCTAAAAATCTGCACATTTATAACCGCATTTAAAACATACGTATATCAGGTTATTTACAAATGGAACAGGATAATTTTAGTTGAGTTTATTCATCTGTAAAAGATGCACTGAAAAACTTTAACCAAAACTAAAATATTCTTTTATAATTATACCTGTACAACTACGATGCCATTTATGACCCAATGTCATATATTACAACCCCCTTTAGAGCGTGTTAAAATGTCACGCGTTACATAATTAATATAATATATATTTTTTTTTATTGTTTTATATTCAGAATGTATAACAATTTATATCTTTTCTTTTATATCTTTCTAGGGTTTAATAACAGTTATAATACTAATATTGTGCTGTACAGTCGGAAATTATGCAGAAAGGCGTACCAGTAAGTATATTTGAAACATTTTTCTTTTGCAGACCATTAAAATCTACATGTTCTACTTCATGCAGGTTTTAAGGTTGAAGTGTCTGGCATGAGAGGGTAGAAAGTATATATAGGTGGGTGTATAAAATGGCCTATTGTTTTTGAGTAATCTTCGATTGTTTTTGTTTCATTGTCTAACTGACAAGATATGTAATCTATTTATTGGCATTGTTTCGAAATCGCTCATAAACTGAAATATTTTTATAAAATGCTTCTATATATATATATATATTTCTACCTCTTATTGTAAATATAACCTGTATATATAAGTCACACGTGTTTAGAGTAGAATTCTTCTTACTATAATAGTGCAAAATTAAAATTCATATTTTTGAAGTATGACAATCGATAATTACTAGGGAGAGTAATACATCCTTTTTCTAGAATCACCTAGTTTTTCATAATCACGTGATTTGAGGTCAAAGATTTTTCTTTACGATTGAGGTTAATAAGATCAGTGTGATTTTCCGAGGTCAATGAAATTCTAACAATGTCAATTTGTATATTCACTAATATGTTTACACTCTAAATATACACAGCAAATATGCGAGAATGGAAATATTTTGCAATTTTCAACGAAATAAACACAATAAATTTTATACTAATTAGAGTGGATCAGTGTTAACGAAGCATTTCATTCATTTTCTAAAAAAATGCGAGGTCAAAAGTTCAATCTTAATGAAATATATTGATGGATTGCTTACGAAATTTAATGTGCGGATGTGCATGTTTTAACATTTAAATGACTGTAAATTAAGGGAAGTGGACTCTAAATTTTGGTTCATAACTTTCTTTTTAGGTCATACTTTCTCTATCGTCGGGCAAATGCGATGCAATCATGATATGCTCTGAGAAGTGTCTATACGGGGTGGAGCATTGAACAACATAACAATTGTATAATTTTCTTAGAAATATTTCATGGCTATCAGAATAAAAAATTTAAATAAATGGATTATAGGAAATAATCATTAACCTATTTGCATATTAGGATGATTGCTTTAATGACACTAAGAAATATTTAAGTTAAAGTGTACTTTAATATACCTACCTTCATTTATTAATTTTATTATAAAAATAAAGGGTGGAATAAATGCTTTTCGGTCAATTTAAATAGTTGTTTCTTAATAAAATGTTAAGAAAATCTTTTACTTAATGTAAGTTAAATAGGATTTATTAGGAAATATAGGCTAATAGAATATGTCAAATTTGGTTGCATGCAACTAAAAGTCGGCAAGTTAGAATCATAATCTATTTTGAAACGTAAAAGGTGAAGCAATTAAAACTAATTTTTTTCCACTTTTTTTAATTATAGGCTCCAAAACCAATAATTCTAAGAAAATAGTATGTTATTATACGAATTGGTCTCAATACAGACAAAAAATTGGGAAATTTTATCCGGAAGATATACCACCAAATCTATGTACTCATCTCATATTCGCTTTCGGATGGATGAAAAAACATAAAATATCAACTTTCGACGCAACAGACGATTCTAAAAGCGGAAAGAAAGGAATGTACGAAAGATTGGTGGATTTAAAAAATAAAAATACCGACCTCAAAGTATTACTTGCAGTAGGTAAGTAGAATTTTTCGTACTTATTCCCTCGGGCAATTGTCAGTATTTAAAGAGTTGAATGGCTTACGTGCCCTTTAGTAATTAATCTTGCGACAGGAGCAACTAGTGGAGAGTTGATCCATGTTCCAATTACTATGTTTTACGTGGGAAAATTTTATTGTATTTTCGTAAAAGAAAAAAACACTCTTACTACTATTTTATATATAAGAATATATGTATTGTTAAGTGAATTAATTAATTAAATAATTTATTTGAATGATTTTTTTTAGGTGGTTGGTCCTTTGGCACGCAAAGATTTAAGGATATGGCTTCTAATAGATATAATAGACAATTATTTATATTCAGTGCTCTTAAATTCTTACGAGATCGAAATTTTGATGGATTAGATGTCGATTGGGAATTTCCTCGTGGAGGTGACGATAAAAGAAATTTTGTTTTATTATTAAAGGTAAATAAAATAGTATTATTATTTAATTAAATATATAAATATAACTTTTCCTAAGTCTAATAAATTTGGATATTTTCATAATTTTTAGGAATTACGTGAAGCTTTCGAAGAAGAAGCTAGAGAGAAAAAATTACCACGTTTATTGCTCACTATTGCAGCTTCAGCTGGTGCTGAAGTAGTAAGAGGAGGTTATGATGTTCCTGCTGTTGCAGCGTAAGTGTTAAATAATGCATTAAAGAAGTGAATTTTTTTTTATTAAAATAAGATATTAACAGTAATTTATTCTAGTTATGTCGATTTTATTAATATTATGTCATACGATTTCCATGGAAAATGGGAAAGCCAAACTGGTCATAACAGCCCATTGTTTGCTCCTCACAACGAATCAAATTGGAGGAAACAATTGTGTATGGTTAGTATCTATTTTTAAATGATAAATTTTTAATAATAATTTAAATATTTATTTAATTTTTACTTTTTTATAAAAAGGATTTCGGTGTTAAAATGTGGGAAAGATTAGGCACCCCTAAGGATAAAATTGTAGTCGGTATAGCTACTTATGGTCGAAGCTTTACTTTAGCTAATCCATCTGTTAATGGAGTAAATGTACCTTCTCGTGGAGGTGGTAAAGCTGGCGAATATACTCGAGAAGAAGGATTTTTATCTTATTACGAGGTAAGAACTACCATATCTTTCTTCAAATAAATCTCTTTATTGAAATAAAAATAATAAAAAATTTTATTTAGATATGCGAAATGTTGAAGAAAGGTGCAACTTATGTTTGGGATGACGATATGAAAGTACCATATGCATATTTAGGAGATCAATGGGTTGGTTTTGACGATGAAAGAAGTATCAGAAACAAGGTAATTATTTAAGACTAAAATTCTAATTTCTTAAATCGAATAATTACTTCGTTAGCACAAAGGGAGTTAGCATGTTTGTTTTTAAACAGAAAGTAGGAGTGTTATTTAATGGCAACAATACGGAAAACTAACATTTGTAAACTGGAGTATTGACCTAAAAATTCATCCAAGCCGTTCAATTGATGTATACTTTAGTTCGTATCTAATTGTATATTTTTATATAGGATTTGTCTAATCTTATGGATAAACTTAAGGGTGGTATCGGTTTAGGGAATAAAGGAGGCAATTCAGGTCATTGACATTAAGAAAGTTCATGTATAACCATGTGGAAATATAATCTATACATAAGAAAAATATATTCTAAATAAGTTAAAGAAATAAGATTTAAAAAAAAAATTATTAAATAGATGAAATGGATAATTCAAAATGGATATGCCGGAGCGATGGTTTGGTCCGTAGATATGGATGATTTTAAAGGAACATGTATACCAAAGACGTATCCATTAATTGGAATTATAGGTGAAGAATTATTGAATAAACCAAAGAGACCTCCAACGAATTTAGCATCTTTTGGAAATAAGAGGCCAAAACCTGTAATTAAAGTAATTTCTACAACGTCTAAAGCAATTGAAGCCAAAGAGGACGTTGCAACTGAACCACCACCCGAGTCAAGTAAGAAGTTCAGTTTTAGAATCTGTATTCAATTCAATTAATTAATAAATATTAATATTAACAGTTTAATAAATTATAATTTTTAGCTACCAATGCTAGAATAGTTTGCTACTTTACCAGCTGGTCATCGAAAAGAGCATCTTTAGGGAAATTTACTCCAGAAAAGATCGAACCTGAACTCTGTACGCATATTATATATGCTTTTGCAACTGTTAAAGATTTAAAACTTCAAGCGATAGACGATGGAAATAAACAAGAAAAAAATATGTTAACTCAGGTATTAGCACTTAAAGATAAGAATCCCAACTTAAAAATTCTTTTATCTGTTGGAGGATGGCTAGCGGGAACGGGACCTTTCAGAGAACTCACAAAATCAAATTATAGGTGGGTTAAATAAAATTAAATTTATAAATATTAAAATTTATAAAAATTTTTTAAAATAAATTTTTAAATTTTAGGCAATCGCTCTTTGTTTTTAATGTAATTGAATATTTGAGACAAATGAAATTTGATGGAATAGATATTGCATGGGAATTTCCTCGTGGTGCAGAGGATAAAGAGAAATATACTAACTTGATTAAGGTAAAAAATAATTTAAAATTCAAATGAGTTTTAGATATTTAGATGTAATAAAAAATTATTTTTAAAATACAGGATTTACGAGAAGCTTTTGATGGGGAAGCTAGATCTTCAGACAAAGCGAGATTACTTCTAACTGCTGCCGTTCCTGCAAGTTTTGAAGCAATTGCCGCCGGTTATGATGTGCCAGAAATAAACAAGTAAATTTTAATTTAAATATTTAAAATTTTATATAAAATAGTGATGTATTTAGGAATTCATAACGCTAATTTAATTATGTAAATTTTATAGATACGTCGATATGCTAAATGTTATGACATACGATTTTCATGGAAATTGGGAACGCCAAGTTGGACATAACAGTCCTTTGTTTTCTCTATACAGTGCTAGCGCTTATCATAAAAAATTAACTGTCGATTTTAGTGCTAGCGAGTGGGTTAAGAAGGGAGCATCGAAAGAAAAAGTGTTAATTGGAATACCTACATATGGTAGAACATTTACTCTAAGCAATACAACTCTAACGGATATAGGAGCACCTGCTATAGATGGAGGCAAGCCAGGGAATTACACTAAAGAACCTGGTGTCCTTGCATTTTATGAGGTAAGCAACACGCTATTATATTTTAATTTATTTAAAAAATTTCAAAGAAAATAAATTTGATTTTTTAATTAAGGTCTGTGATATGCTTAAATCCGGTGCAACATTAGTGTGGGATAATGAACAAATGGTACCTTATGCATATAAGAATGACCAATGGGTTGGATTTGATGACCAAAGAAGTCTTAAATTAAAGGTATATTTTTAATAATTTTACGTAAATATAGGTTATGATGTGTATATTTTTAATATGATCATATCCAACAGGTGCAATGGCTTAAACAAAATGGATTCGGAGGTGTTATGGTTTGGTCAATCGACATGGATGATTTTAGAGGATCTTGTATGGGAAGTAAATACCCATTAATAAACGCTGTTAAAGAAGAGTTAAAAGGCTATAAAGTAGCTAATTTAGAAGCACAAAGTAGCAATGTTCATAACGCGTATGGCCAAGTCATTGGTATGTATAACAACGTTCATAATACTAGTTTCTTAAACAGTTTTCTTAATTGTTTTCCACTTTTCGGCAACAGATAAAAATGAAGTAATCTGCGAAGAAGCCGATGGACACATCAGTTATCATGCTGATAAAAAGGACTGTGCCATGTACTATATGTGTGAAGGAAAAAGACGTCATCACATGCCTTGTCCTTCTAATTTGGTGTTTAATCCTGACGAAAACGTATGTGATTGGCCCGAAAACGTAGAGAGTTGTAGCAACTTTAAATCGGGTTGATGATACATAAATATATTTGTTTTTTTAATTCATGTTGACATTGAAGTGTTTTCAAACGGTTTCAGCGCCGAGAGGATTTTTAGCCATTGAAATGGTTTTATTTTTATGATAAAGGAATCTTTTCTATTTACGGATTTCAAAAATTTTCCATTTGCCGAAGTAGAAGGAAGTTCGACGGTGATGATATTTTTTTATGTGATACAATTAATAATATTCTTAACTTTGTGATAAAAAATTCGACTCTACATTCAATTTATTGTTTTTTATTATTTTAAAATTTTGTAAATTAATATTTCATAAGTAACAAATCTTTCTAAATATAATTTAAAAGAAATTATAAAAAAGTTCAAAATATAAATTTGTAATTTATATGAAAAAAAAAGAATTAACATGAAATTCGTCATTCCTTTTAAAGGATAAATTAAGGATATGTATACATTTATATATTATTTTAATTTATAGAACTATAAAGAGTCGTTATCGATACTAAATTATATACAAAATATCATATTTAAAAGTTAATATAAAAAAATCTCAACCAATTATTGAAATATTTATGCAAATTGATTGTTGTTTTGGTAGGGAGATTCTAAAATAAAAGTGCTTTATGGTTGTTAAAAAAACGATATTTTGTATTTAATTGTTGGTGTAATAGTTTTTAATCCGTTAATAATAAAATTTTCTTTAAGATTTCATTAATTTTATTTAAAATATCACTTAAAAACACCCGAAACAAATATAAACCTCATAGAATTAATGAAACAAAAATGATAAAAATTATATTAAATACTGAATATTACATTCGTTTACATGTGAAAATAATAATAAAAATGAGATCGTGTTCCAAATGAATGAAAAAAACATGCAAATTTTATAACCAACCTCCAATTTCTTTGACAGCTCTAGCGATTTCTTTATGAACCATATCGCTTTGATTATTTATATATGAGGGCTTATACACCGAAGTTGTCGTAACACTAGAAAATCGTACATTTGGTTTAAAGAAAAAACCGTCACAGTGTTTATAACGGTCTATATTAGTTCTATCGTTCGAAGACGTTACGGGTGTTACTCTGTTTTCTGATCTGCTACGGTTTATAGATAATTGTTTCTCTTTCCTTTCTGAAGAACGACTTCTACGAATTACAGTTCTTTTAGATTGTGGTAAAGGTGGATATTTCCAAGCTACAGGAATCTGTCGAATATTTTCGTCTTTATCGTTACTGAAACGACCAGAATCTGTGTAAGTTTCTTCTTCAAATTCTGGTAATGACAGATCTGAAGTAGGCTATAAAATTTATATAAATTAAACTCAAATTAGTTTACTTTTATAGTAAATAAATTGTGTTAAAAAACACAAAATACCTGATTTTTGAAATTGTTTTTAAAATCTCTCAATTGCTGATGAAGTTTATCACATTTTTCTTTTAACTAAAATCAAATATATAATAATTTATCTTTTAATTACATTGAAATTAATAAAGAAAAATGACAAAAAAAAAATTCTCAACTAACTTCTTTCTCTGTCTTTAATAAATTCATTTTATCTTCTTCCATTTTCTAAAATTATTTTAAAAAATAAAAAGTTTTAAAACATTGTACATACTTTTATAAACTTAAATCTACTGATATTTTTTTTTCTTTTTAATTGGTTTAAATACTCACTTTAATCGTGTCACGAAGGTTATCTACCTGTAAAATTAGAAAGAAATAAGTTTAAATGATATAGGAAGGCAATTAAGTAATTGTTTAGACGATGTTTTAATTACTTCTTGCAGTAATTTAATGTTCTCTCTACTTTTAGTCTGATATTCTCTAAGGGCCAGCTGTACATCTAAATACATTTCCTTCCATTTTCTGACTTCGACCCACAATCTATCATTTGGAGCAACTTTACATTCGTGAAATTTCTGCAAATTTATGTAATTAGAAATAAATTTTTTAAGTATGTAATTGTAAATAATTAAAAATATAAAGCTTACAATATATAAATACTTACATCTTCCATACAATTAATATCAAATCCAGCTTCTTCTAACTCACATTGAATTCGAACCCGATCAGCTGATCTACAGCAACTTTCCAATAAAGTGTTGATGAAAGTTAAAGATGCTCTCTGATAATTATTTGAATAAAAGTACTTTAAAATGCGAGAATTTTAATAAAAGACAAGCAAAATTTAGATAAAAATGTACCTGAAATACAATAGAATTTTTCCCTCCTCCATTCAGCATTGATACCAGAAATTTAAATCTAACAGATTCACCAAATATTAATTTGACAGATGACATCGCTTCTAATAATTTATTTGATCCATTTACGTGATGTTTACAGCATTTAGTCAGTATCTAACGAGAATTAACTAATCAGAAATTTGAAAAAAACATATATATATATTATATATTTAGAAAAAACAATTCTTACTTCAATGGCCACAATTCTTGTCCTTAAAAAATTGCTCATGATGCTACAAGCTAGTGTAGATAATGCTGTAGCATGGTTAATTAAACAATCCAACGTTTTCTGATATCAATGAGAAGAAAGATTACATACAATACGTATATATAAAATTAATGAATATTTGTATTAATTACATACTTTATGAACAGAAGCTGCTTTTAACGTCAATAAACAAATATATTCTTCATTCTGAAATTATAAAAATTAATTTAATTTAATGTGTAATTGTTTCATAATATACCTAACAGATGGCGCTGTGATAGTCAATGTCTATCGATTCCCAATAAAATTTAAAGACTAATGTACTGTACAGTACTTTATACAGTTGACCCCCCCTATAACACTGTTGATAATTCCGTGTTATATGAATTCCATGTTGTACTAGTCACTTATATTTTACAAATACGTGTGCCGGGCTGTGAACGGCTCACGTATTTGTAAAATCTAAGTGAATCGTACAACATGGAATTCATATAACACGGAATTATCAACAGTGTTATACGGGAGTCTACTGTATTTATTATTATTTATTCACGAAATTTAAAGTATTTGTTTACTTATTTGTTAAGTATACGTTTATGATCTTTCGTTTTATAGTAATAATTAAATTCCTTTCTAGTATGATTCTTAATATTTTTTCGCTCCCCAAAAATCTATTTTTGTCTTTTTGGAGAGTGATATCGTCCTTTATCATTCTCACAAAACTGATATTTTTAAAATAATTTTTAGACAAAGTCACAAGTGAAGCATTTTATTCTGCAGTATCGTGAGGTTTTCTCAGTATACATCACAAATGACTAACTAGAAAAGTTAGAAAATATTTATATATTCAGTCATTTAACATGCTTACTTTTTTAATAAAACATTACTATTAAAGTTAGAATTCGAATGTTTTCGGTATTTCTTCCGTGTTGACATTAAAACACTAGTAAATCCAAGTATGTAAAGTGTCTAAATTATTTATTAAAAAATTTGCCTTTTTAAAATGTTTATGATTTCGTATAGTTTTAAATTTCCTTATACATAATAAGTTTTTTTGATAAGATTTATTCTACAGTTAATATTACAGAAGTAATAAAATACGATTAAATACTGACTCTAAATTTTGGCTAAATATATAACCACAGTTATAGAGATTTTGTTTGTGAGTATCGAAGAGTATTCTATTGTTTTCCGAAATAATCAAATTTTCAAAGACTGTTTGAAGTTATTTTATACTATTTTTGTGATCTCTATTATCATCAAATAAAAATAGACAACGTATTGGGTTAGAAATAACACGAAATATATAAAATATAGTGGCTCACCATTCCCTATATACAACACTACAGTGTATTTATACACGCATACCATTAATTCTACATTTGATTATATTTATTAAGTTTTGAGATAGGAAAGACGATAGGGAGGGCTTTCCCCATAAAACATCATTAAAATGCATTGTCATAGGACATAAGTATGTCCGCAAAGTTTCAGCTTTCTCTCTTAATCCTCATCTTCTAATATAGATGAGGATCATCAAAAGATAGTGCAATCTTCACATTTTTCTTTCTTACAAGCTTGAAATTCTTATAATTCCTTACTTAGAATTGACATCGAGCTATGAAGTGAAAGATTTTTAAAGAATAAAGGTCTTTTCGTTGAATGGAGAATATTACGCTAGTATTTATTAAATTATAAAATAATAATTCATATAAATTCAGGCATTAAAATTTATAAAAATAAAAATGTTCAATTTTTATCATAAATTAAATACTACTTCATATCTTGAAAATTTAACCAAATGAAATAAATATATTTCTATGAAAGTCAGTGAAAATTTGTTTAGATAAACTTGATATATATTGAGATTTATGTATAAATTTTTATATGAATAAATCTTAATATATACATATGCGAGATTTAATACAATAAGCATACTCATATATTAATTATAAATGTTTGAGATTGCAACAAATCTCAATAAATATTTATTGAGATTTATTATAATGTATATATATATAAAGTTTTATACATATATCTATATATATATACATAAATCTCAATTTATGTATATATAAGCATAGACATAAATTTCAATATTTACATACAAACTTCAACAAATAATCAGCAAAATGTTAAGAGAAAAGGAAAAATAAAAATAAAATTGAATAAGCTATAAGTTTATAGAAAAAAAATCAACTGAAAAATATTAAATGCTCTTATTTTTAAAATTCTCTTTAATTAATTGTTCCCACATTAAAACTTATCATCAACTGTAAAATATATATAATTTAATATCAGTACATCACAAAATGCTTTAACATATGCAGAAAATTAAACGTTATTTTTAAAAATAAACAATCCAAATTATTAATAAAGAATATAATTTTTATTTTTACTATAGTTAAAAAATGACTGGAAACAGATAAAATATAATAATGAAGCTCATTTTAAACAGTTTTAATATAATTTTATACTTTAAAAATAAATATTAAATAAATGTACAACCGAATTCTAATAACAAATTATCCTTATATCTATAAATATTATAAAATATTGAATAATTTTGATTAAAGATATCGAAGAAAGATGAGAGAATTTTAGAAAATATAATTACGTTATTCCTAAAGTTTCAATTATTATATTTAATGAATTTATTGGAAATATACTGTAATTTATAAATTATTATGCCAGTAATTTTTACAATTGCAGTTGTAATTAATGTATAATTTGAAAAAAATAAATAAAATTATATGGTATACTTAGAGGGTGGCTCAAAAGTCAGTCAACCGTAGTAAAATTAAATTGCAATTAATTAACTAAATTAACCAAAAACAATATACTTAATTTAGTTAAATATTCATATTTTCACAATTCTGTAAAGAAGAAAAAAATGTTGTTCTATACTTAGTTTGCAATTTATATTCACGAGTGTTGCAGGACACACGCAAAATAAAATGCGGTTAATTGACTTTTGGATCATTCTGTACTTTTATTAAAAGTTAAAGATTAGATATCAAAATGTAAATTTATATTAGAATTTAATAATACCGTATAATATAATTTTTAAAGTTTTAAAAATAGAATTTTCTGGAATCAAAAATTTTTTCCGGTTAATTTAATACAAAAAATAAAAAGAATAAAATTGTTCAGAAAAGTTTTCTTCCTTATTTTTATTCGGAGCAATTTATTTTATAATATCCGAGAAAGAAATTTCACATTTTGTTACACTAGTTTTTTATATTACATTATAATGATACCAATTTTTCTCTTTAAAAATGTTTTTTATTTGTTTAAGAGAAAAAATGTCTAAAAATATATAAGTTAAAATAGGAAATAAAAATAAAAACTAACTTCCTATACAATTTCATTCTGATAGACAGATGTATGAAAAATTTCCTGCCTCCATATAAAACATTTTTGATTTTCAAAACAGAGATTGTTGCTCAAAAATTATGTGAAGGAAAGCTGCTGTAGTAAATTACATACGTTATATATATATATCACATCATTATATATGTATATATAATGTTAATGTTGTAATACATTAAAACCCGTCTTAAACGAAATGTGTCGATATCGGTCAAAATTTTATTTTTTTTTAACAGATTTTCGTTTTATATAGGTTATATTTTATTAAATCTTTAAGAAAAAAATAGGCGAGAAAGAGTTATATCATTATTGCAAAGTTTTACGGAGAATATAATATTAACAAAGAAAAACGAGTTGTTCCACTTTCTCGGCAACATTTAAAATTTTGGTGGCGCCATCTGTTATCATATATTATTAAAAAGCTTATTAGATTTCTAACTATTATAAAATTTAAGCTTAATTTTGAGGGTAGGGACGAGTTTTATAAAAACAATTGTAAATGCTAATACAGTAGAACCTCGAAAACTCGTCCNACACCCGAAACAAATATAAACCTCATAGAATTAATGAAACAAAAATGATAAAAATTATATTAAATACTGAATATTACATTCGTTTACATGTGAAAATAATAATAAAAATGAGATCGTGTTCCAAATGAATGAAAAAAACATGCAAATTTTATAACCAACCTCCAATTTCTTTGACAGCTCTAGCGATTTCTTTATGAACCATATCGCTTTGATTATTTATATATGAGGGCTTATACACCGAAGTTGTCGTAACACTAGAAAATCGTACATTTGGTTTAAAGAAAAAACCGTCACAGTGTTTATAACGGTCTATATTAGTTCTATCGTTCGAAGACGTTACGGGTGTTACTCTGTTTTCTGATCTGCTACGGTTTATAGATAATTGTTTCTCTTTCCTTTCTGAAGAACGACTTCTACGAATTACAGTTCTTTTAGATTGTGGTAAAGGTGGATATTTCCAAGCTACAGGAATCTGTCGAATATTTTCGTCTTTATCGTTACTGAAACGACCAGAATCTGTGTAAGTTTCTTCTTCAAATTCTGGTAATGACAGATCTGAAGTAGGCTATAAAATTTATATAAATTAAACTCAAATTAGTTTACTTTTATAGTAAATAAATTGTGTTAAAAAACACAAAATACCTGATTTTTGAAATTGTTTTTAAAATCTCTCAATTGCTGATGAAGTTTATCACATTTTTCTTTTAACTAAAATCAAATATATAATAATTTATCTTTTAATTACATTGAAATTAATAAAGAAAAATGACAAAAAAAAAATTCTCAACTAACTTCTTTCTCTGTCTTTAATAAATTCATTTTATCTTCTTCCATTTTCTAAAATTATTTTAAAAAATAAAAAGTTTTAAAACATTGTACATACTTTTATAAACTTAAATCTACTGATATTTTTTTTTCTTTTTAATTGGTTTAAATACTCACTTTAATCGTGTCACGAAGGTTATCTACCTGTAAAATTAGAAAGAAATAAGTTTAAATGATATAGGAAGGCAATTAAGTAATTGTTTAGACGATGTTTTAATTACTTCTTGCAGTAATTTAATGTTCTCTCTACTTTTAGTCTGATATTCTCTAAGGGCCAGCTGTACATCTAAATACATTTCCTTCCATTTTCTGACTTCGACCCACAATCTATCATTTGGAGCAACTTTACATTCGTGAAATTTCTGCAAATTTATGTAATTAGAAATAAATTTTTTAAGTATGTAATTGTAAATAATTAAAAATATAAAGCTTACAATATATAAATACTTACATCTT